AATAATAATAATAATTATTATTATTTAATTTATTATTATTAATTCAATAAAAGTTAACAAATAAATCTTAATTCTTAATACAACAACAACAGCAATAATAATAATAATAATTATTATTATTTGACATAGTCACCACTGACAAACTAATACTAAATATATTGTAGAAACTTAATTTCCTGTAAAGCTGCTCTGCAACGATTTGTATCGTGAAAAGCGCTATACAAATAAACTTGAATTGAATTGAAATTGAATTGAATTATGTCTGTTCCCTAGAAACCAAGCCCAACGCTACTAGTTGAGCTACCAGAACTTAGAATTAATTCTTGTAGTATTAAATTCATTAATTGTATTTTATTTTGATGTGGTCAGAAATTTTTGAATAATAACTTTTGATTGACTTTTGTCCCAGACGATTGTTTCTTACTGTGCTATAGTTACATATCTCTCATATCAGCCCATGCTTTCATTCTTCTCTCATGATAAAATAATTTCAACTCAAATCTATATTTAATATTTGATAAGTAGCAATGCAATAAACGGTATAATGTACAGTCAGCCATTTATTATCACAAAATAAATCTGTATGTGTGCAATAATGACTATGCATTGTGTTTGGATGAATGAAAGTTTGCATGCATTGCCAGCGCAGCAGAAGTGTTGTTAAAGATCTTTACTGTGTGAAATGTCATAATCACATTTTTTTTTAACTCCACCCAAGTAACAGCTTTCCAACTTTTTGTTTTCCCAGAGAGAAAGCCCTTACAAAACTCATGTATTTCATGAGAACAGGTTTAAAACTTAAGACTTGTAAAACAGCTCATAAGTATATTCTAGCTCAAGCTTTCCTCGTGTACCAACTTGATATCATCAGCTTTTTAATATCTAAAGAATGGCTTAATGGCTTGATGAGAGCAGTTGTTTTATTTTAAAACTTTGTTAATTTCATGTAATAATTTAATTTGATTTTTAAATGATCAGTAGTCTTTGGTTTACATTACACTCCCAGAAGATCTTCTAAATGTTTGTTTTGTCAACTCTAGAGGACACTGTATAGATTAGGCATAAACTAATCACAGAACTGTTTTTTTTTTCATGTTATATACCATGTTATATGCATCTGTATACCAGAAGACATTAATAAAGTTAAAGTTAATAAGAGACTTACTGGAGGTGTAAAGAATTGCCTGTAGAGAAATGCTGTAGCTAAACGTTTGCTGGTGTTTATGTGCTACTGTGAACAGGAAGTAGTTTCCTGTGCTGAAGGCCATACATATGGAGCCATTAAAGCTAGATGATCTTATTGTTTGAGTGTGAGATCAGAGTTAATCTGAACCAGATGAAACAACTCTTAAACAGACAAATGTCCTTCAAATGCACTTGTGTACTGCTGACTGTGTAGTATATACTGTTTACTGCCTAATATTTGATCTAATATATCAGACAGTGAATAGTATGCAATGAAAAACATTGTCATGCATTTTTTGTTCTATTTTTGTACTGTCAATTGTATTTTTCATCTATTTTATTTCAAGTTAAAAAGTACTTGGTTTCATTTATTTATTTACTTAAAAAACGTTATTAAAATTACTTATTATTATTATTATTATTATTATTGTCTGTTCCTTTGAAACCAAACCCAGTCTCAAACCCAACTTAATAATAATAAATTCAGTTACAATAATTACAATTTATTTTAAATAATAAATTATTAAAAGTTAGTCAATTAATGAACTAAATAAAAAAATTATTCATTTATTAACCTAATGATAATATTAATAGTAAAGACTGTTATTATTATTATTATTATTATTAGGACTTATAATACTATTTTTTCCAACACACACACACACACAAAAAAAAATTCATTACCTGAAATAAAATAAAATATAAAAAACTGAAATGCTTTATTTAGTTAGTTAGTAGTTAGTTAGTTATAAATATAAATTATTATAGACTAATAAAAATGACAAGAACAACTAAATTACTAAAACTTTAAAAATTTAAATGTAAACAGAAAATATAAAAACATGAAACTGTTTCTTTTTTATGTTTATTTTTAGTATTACCATTTCAGTTCATTAACATTTATTAACATTTAAAAAAAGAATGCATTTTTTGGTCCTATTTTTGTACTGTCAACTTTTTTCATCCACCATCATGTACTCTGCACATGCTGTCAATAGTTTGAGGTCATATGAGTTTGCATTCATACAGTGAATGTGCATGATTCTTATGTTCTGTGATCAAACACAGGAGGAGAATGACGAGAAAGTGGAAGATGATGATGATGATGACGAGATGCTCTATGACGAGGACTTTGATGCAGAAGACGAGGCAGAGGAAGAGGATGGGGAGGGAGGAGGTCTGGAGGAGGAAGAGGAGGAGGAGGTGCAGGAGAGCACAAAGATGAAGATTCTGCGCAGAGTAGCAGGAGTCGCAAACAAACTCAAAGAGATCATCGGTAACCTCATCACAACCGCTGGACAAGTGGTGGTTACCATTCTACTGGGATTAACAGGTGTGCATGTGTGATAGATGTTTTCATATACACTACCATTCAAATGTTTGGGGTCGGTACGATTTCTAATATTTTATTTTATTTTATTTTTAAATGACCGATAGACTTTAGTTTATGTCACAAGCATAACCGTCATAAACCATAATTTGCATCTTCAACCATGAACCATCTCTTCTGATCCAAACATCTTTTTTAACGTGATCAATGATTTTGCTGTCACTTTTGATCAGACGAATGAATAAAAGTATTAATATCTTTCAAATAATAATAATTAGGGTTGCAGAGGGGTGGAAAATTTCTGGTAAATTTCTGGAAACTTTCAAAAAAATCCCTGGAATATTCCCAAAAATCCTGGAAAGTTTCCAATTTCTGGAATATTTCCGAAATTTACTGAAAATTTTCCACCCTTTTGCAACCCTAATAATACTAATAAAAAATGTAAACTTTAGAACAGTAGTGTAAAAGCAAATTAGATCATTTTGCATTTCATTTATTTTATATATGTCATGCACATTTACAGACATTTCTGTGAAGAAATGTCCAGCTTATATTTAATCCCAAAAATCAAAAGCAAATATTAAAAAAAATACATGAAAAATAGCGATTTTTTTTTTTGGTAACATTAAGAATTTTTTGTATTATTATTATCTTTTAATTAAGCATACCCTGTCCCTAAATATTCATTGGTTATACTCTGAAAACTATAAATATTATCCTGTTTTTTAAATTAAATAATTTATAATTAAATATAAAAAATAATGTCACAATCCAAATGAATATTAATGTAAAATATTAATTAAAAAATTCTAAATATTAAAAAATTGCATTATCAATGAAAAAGTCTGTCAGTAGAATACAAGTCTAATCTGTCTATGTTCTGGTCTCCAGGTGTCACGCTGCCCTCTCTGAGCTCAGCCGTCTACTTCTTTGTGTTTTTGGGGCTGTGCACGTGGTGGTCGCTCTGCAAGACCTTCGACAAGCTGCTCTTCAGCTGTCTGTGTGTCCTCATGGCCATCTTCAGTGCTGGTCATCTTATCATACTTTATTCCAACCAGTTCCAGTTCCTGCAGGAGGCCATCAGCCTCAACGACAGCTACACCAGGTCAGATCATTTTTTAGCAACTGTTTCTTCATGTCATTCCAGACAGACTGGATGATGATCAGATCAGATCTCTGTGTGGAGCACAAAAATCTCACTGGATTATTACAATTAATGGCAAAATGAATGTTTGGAAATGTAAACTGATATTTCCTACAGACACACTACAGCAAAAGATAAAAATTACCACCTTAAAACTGCCATAAATTTTTATTTATTTTTTTGCTGGTGAAAATACTAGTGGCCTAAGACATTTGCACAGTAATGTACCATTTTTTCCCCATTAAATTGACTATTTGAACATATTTTTTCACTCCTTCACATTTTGTATGTTACATTTTGTATATGCAGATAACTTGCTCCATATTAATTATTTATAAATCGGTGGACTTTGAATTCATGTTTATACGACAGTGCCAGTAATGCTCATATAATATGTCATATGTTTAATGTCATCATATGCATATTAATCTGCATCTGCCGTGTGCTTTAAATAATGAATGAGAATGAGAATACCCATCATGCCCTGCAGCGAAACACGGCCTTATTTCCTGTGTCTGGACTCTGATAGACACAATGTTCAGGCGACATACAGATAAAAGGTCACGTGTCCCATCTGTTAGGTGTGTTCTGACAAAGGCCGGTCCACGAAAGAGCTGCAGAAGAACCACACACAGAGTCACACGCAGATCAAATGAATATAGCATCATTAATGCATTTCAGCCAAATGTCTTGTATGTATATGCCAAAGGAATGACTCATTCAGCTTTTGAGTTTTGTGAACTTTCTCACGAAATCCAAACAATAAATGGCGCTCTTTAATGTTGTGCGAGATCACTGTATCTTCAAGCAGCATGCGAACCGATGATCTCTTCCTCTTTACTACTAGTTATAGCATGAATAAACATGAATGAACATCCGTATATTGACAGATACAGTGCATTTTACTTAAATGTGTTATTAAATTTGAACCTGTGTTTCAGTAAATAAAACATGAATAAAATACTCAGTTACTTTTACCTCAAGAAAGTTGTCCAATGTTCAGTTTGTTAGTGAGCTAGAAAAAAAAAAACACTAGTGAGGAGCTTATTTTATATTTTTTATGAAAAATACCTTGTGTGCAACAGCCTTTTTATTGAGTGTGATTATTATATATAATAAATAGCAGTTAAATATAAGTATCAAATTAATATAAGTGGTTATTTTACTCATAGTTGTAATTGTAATATTAAATTGATGTACCTAATGAAGTGGTTCCCTTAAAGTATTAGTCAATTTTTTTCCCCCATTTTTTTCCATTGAGATGTTTTTTCCTTGAGAAAAAATTATATGAACCTGAAATATTTACAAACTAATACATTTCAAATCATGTTGTGTGATATTGTGTACCATGAAATTTTGATCTTTTCTGCGATGGTTCTGAGATCGTAAAATACTCATACCGTTACAACTCTACCATTAAGGTAATGCCATGTTATTTTGTTAATAATTGTAGCTCAGATATTGCTAAACATACCATGCCATTGCCTAATAAGCATAGCAATTCATAGCACAAACAAATATTGGGTAAAATAGTAACTTTTTATTAAAATGTAGATTAAGTATGTTAAAAATTGAGTTAAAAGTGAAAATCTCTTGCTTTTTCAAATTTGAATTAACAATGGAAAAGCCTAAAATGTATATATACATTTTCACTAAACCCGTCACAATGCATTAGATGCTATCCTGGCTAATTTGGCCATGCTGTATAATTATGCAGCCTTTTAGAGTATTTTTTTTTTTTGCATTGGGCTCAAGCCTGTGATGCCTTGAATGGCTACAACAAACAGACCGGTGCTGTGTATTTCAGCACTAGTTGTCCTTCACCTCATATTTCCAGCTGTATTCTCAGATCTGCTCAGGCTTAGGCTGTGTATGATCTGCAGGTGCTGATGGACTGATTCGACACCTGTTCCTGCTCCGTCTCTCATGCCCTTGATGCTCTTCATGGGCATCGATTCCACCGACTGCATTTGCTTCGGCTGTGAGAGGCCATTAGGTCTATGTTTAGTAGAGCAGCTTTTTTTGAACTTTATTGTGGCCTGTTCTTTTGTCTGTAAATGTTATGCTGTTTTATCTTCAGGTCCTTTGAAAAGTCATAAGAGATTATTGGAGTTTATTTTAGAAGAAAAGACTATTTCGGTTTTTCCATATTTCATGTTTAATTTTGTTTCTTTGTATAATTTACTTGTAATTTCTGAGTGAAAAGTTTTCTACACTCTTTTTTTTTTTGTATACACACTCAAGATGGTTTTATTAATATGAGAGGAATAATTCACCCAAAAATCATTATTTACTTATTATATTACATCATTATTAATCATTATTTACTGACTTTTTATAGCAGAGAGAAGGTCTGATGTGTTTCTAATGTATTTCTCTTGGTGATTTTAAATCAATTCAATTCAATGTTTAAAGCCGCTTTTAAGGTTTGCATTTCATTGTGTTTGCGGTTGTGATCTCAAGGTTAATTAAGTCGACTGAAACTCAAGTTAGAAGTGCATTGTGGTCAGATAAACTCATTAAACGCAAACACCCTGTTAACACTTACGTACACTGCAAAAAGTGCTGTTCTTCCTCAGTATGTTTGTCTTGTTTTCCAGTACAGTTATCTACATTCTTAAATTTGAGAAGCAGATATTAAAAGATATTAAGGCTTTTTTTATAGGTTTATCAAAATTAATGGACTTGTCTGAAATAAGAAAAAATATCTGACAATGGGGTAAGAAAAATAATCTTGTTTTCCCTTTAAATTAAGTTGATTTTTCTGACCCCACTGGCAGATATTTTGTCTTTTTTTAAGCTAAAACTCACTTAATTTGGTTCTTAAGTCTTTTTCTTTCCCACATAAATGTATCATTCATTCGTTCATTCATACATTCTTGATTTAATGTGTCTTATCCTGATATAAAAATATTTAAATATTTGTACAGGAAAACCAGACAAAAATACTGATACATTTTTTTTTTTTTTTACAGTGTATCAATTTCTTTACTTCCTTCTCTTGAATTCATAAATAGAAATAGACCATAAACCCACTCTTTTGTGCTGGTCTTTATCAGTTTTTCTTTGTGAAAGCAGTTTTGAACAGTAGAGATATCAGTTTACCAGTTTTTCTTCATGAAAGCAGTTTTGGCGTGAACAGTAGGAACAGCCGTTGTTGTGTAGTTAATGGTGATCTGGTTGGAAAAGTCTGTGGCCTAATTGTAGTTGATGAAAGACACGTCGCCTTGATCTGCATGACTGTTGAGTAGCAGTGTTGACAGCCAGTGCTTTCCGCATCACTTCCTGTTTTTCCCTCAACATGGGCTGTGGTCATGTGATCATTTCTGTCCCAGTCACAGCCAGAGTAAGAAGCAGGATAAAAATTATATCATTAAAGCAAAATGACCCGGTTTACTTTTTCTCCACAGTTTGTTTGGCATCTCCTCCATCGTTCGAACCGACTGTTCCTCAACCTGGAAGCTTGCTGTCAACAGTGGTCTGAACTGGCACCATTTTGTCAATCCCATCATGCTCTTGGTCCTGTACTACACACTGGCCACCTTGATCCGTCTGTGGCTGCAAGATCCCATGATCATGGTGAGCCTAATGTCACGAAGTGAAGAAAATACTAATATTTTAAAGTGTATTTATTATTTGAATGTACACATTTTTAATGATATTTTTTAGTTAAACATATCCAAATATCCTTTAAATATTATACTTTAAATTATTTTTGTCATTGGCATAAAGGTTTTTTATGTTTTTAAGCATAAAAATTCTAGTGACGAAAAAATGGTTTAAACATAAATTTATTTTGAAAATAAATAAAATATGTTATTGTGTTTTACACAAAATCTTTTTTTTATCTTTGATGTCAAAGCTTTAATGCATTCTTCATGCACTTTAATACAAAGAAATTGATTTGAATATATTAAGAGATTTTACAAAAGGCAATCAAAATATTGAGGACAGAGAGACAAACCTGTATATTGATTTATTGATCAATTAACAATTAGTTTCAAGAAAACATTTTTAGTTAAAATTTTGGTTAAAATAAAGAAATATGCTATATTTCTTAATAAACAAATAAATGTTAATATTCCCTAATAAATATTAGTCAACTGTGTGTATAATATGCTTTGTTTATATGAAGAAGGGTTATTATTATTAACTAAAATCATTTTTGTTCATTTAAATAAAATAAATGTTACCTTTATATAAATAAAATAATAAAATGAAAAATGAAAAAAAAAATTATAAAGAAACTAATAAATAATGACAATAACACACAAGAAAAAATCAGAAACTTATACTAAAATTAAAGTGAAAACAAAATATCAAAATAAAATGTAATTCAAAAATATTAACAAAAAAATCATGGCTATATAATAGTATTTCAGTCGTACTAAAATAACACTGATATGAAGATGTGTATGATAGGTACATAAAGTACAATGTTGGTTTGATCTCTGTCACCTTTTTCTCATCTGTCCACATGCTGTTGTGACTTTATAGAGCAGTCAATACACTTGCTCCTTCAAAACCTCACATGCATGAGCTTATTGATTCACATGCCTCTAGGTTTGATCACAGCATGATTTCATGATTTTCTTGTCGCCGTAAATCTAAGTGATGAGAATAACCGGTTGCGTGACTTCACAGAGAGATCGATGATGAATCATAAACGCCGTTACGCTTTCATCCGATGAAATTATTAGTTCAGTGTTGTTGTTTTCATCTCGTGACTCCATTAAGTGTGTTTATCATCTTCTGCGTTTTCTTTCGTAAGCTGCTCCATGATACATGTTTTAATTCCATTCACGCTACTCACTGAATATGTTTCTGTGTTTATTGATCTTTCTCCAGCAGGAGAGTGAGGAAGAGGAGATAAACGAGGGAAATGAGGCCGCGGGAAACAGCTTCATTCACACGTCGATCGGGAAGCGGCTGCTCTGGTGGAAAGCGCATCAGAAAACTGAGGAAAGAAATGTGAGGAAACAAAGAGCATTTTTAAAGCTTAAATTAAGGAAATGTCTCACAAGGTTAACTCTATCTTAATTCAAATATTTAATTTTAGAGGTCGCAATATAAGTCCAAATTCAGCATGGCCATAGCCTAGTGAAACAAAAACATCCAAAATACACTTTTAAGTGTTTATTTTATTGCACTTTATATCTATTTGTGTCTAGATTTGAATTACGATACATATTTTCAAAGGCCATTTTTATTGAAGTTTTATCTCCACTTAAGCAGCACTTACATGCACTAAAATTTACAGTTGTATTCCTATCTATATTTTGAAGTTTTTTACTGAGGAATTTGTTTATATATCATTTGCACTGATTTATATGATGTTTTATTCTAAAACATGCTGAAAATGTTTTTTTTCTGGCTGTTGACAGTATTTTTGGATTTATTGAGTGATAAAAATACATATTTTTCTAGAAAATAAATCTGAACATTGCATAAAGCCAGATTCAAAATTCTTGTTTCATTTTGTTGACGTATTAGAGTTAAATGTTTTTATAGAAGGGATTTTGGATATCTCTTTTTATCATTCCATAAATCAAAACATATGGTCAACAGCCAGAAAAAAACTAATTCACCATGTTTTTAGGAATAAAATGTTATATAAATCAATGTGAATGATATATGAACAAATTCCTCAGTAAAAATCTTCAGAATATCAATAGGAATAAAACTGTTAAGTTTGATGTATGTAGGTGCAGCTGAAATGGAGATAAAAACTCACAGCCTTTAAACATATGCATTTTCAGCATGCTTTTAGAAATAAAATGTTATATAAATCAGTGTGAATGATATATTAACAAACCCCTCAGTAAAAATATTCAGAATATAGAGAGGAATAAAACTGTAAATTTTAGTGCATGTAAGTGTTGCTGAAGTGGAGATAAAACTCATTTTGAGAAAACATGGCCTTTAACCCTTGTGTGTCAATTAAAAAAGTTACACATAGGTTCATAGAGGACAAAAATGTCCATGTCCAAAAACTGTCATAAAAATTTGAAGCTTGGGAGTACAGACTTAAGTTTGGTCTCATTTTAAAGAAGACCCTTGACAAATTATTGGTAAAAAAAAAATTACAACTTTAAGCTTATGAAAATGATTTATGAGTAATTTTTATATAAAATATATATTTTATAAAACATGTTGAACACAAAAATTGCTAGAAAATCAAAGCCATAAAACTAAACAAGTTGTGTTCCAAATTTGAGGTTGATATCTCAACAAATGAGCTTTTAGTAAGATTTTGTTTGGGTGCAGTACCAAACTTTTCCCATTAGATTCCAGCAAAGCTCCGCTGGCATACACAGCGGTGGGATTTGTGATTCGCAGTACAGTATAATTTCTCTCTCTCAAACATTACAGGTGCACACACACAAACACACACACTTTTTTTTAGGACACAGATACAAACGACACTCTGACATCCATACCAACACACCCACACAATTATAGCTGCATAATTTATCCAACTGGCTCTATAATACAGCAAAAGCAGAAAACAGGAAAATTGTGAGTATTTGCTTTATAGGCCAAATCTGAGAAAATGGCACCATCTAGTAAAATAAAAAAAATAAAAATTAATTTTGAAGCCTTGCCAACAGAATGAAAGCTTATTAACAAAGACTGCATCATTTTATAGTTAAATGGCCCTGGGAATACAAATTGCAGTTTTAATGGGTTTCAATGAGGACATTTTTGTCCTTAAGGTCCTGAGAGGAACTATTTTTTGTACCTAGTGTAAAATAGATTTATTAAAGGAGGGTGAAATATTAAAATTCCAATAAAAATACACGCCTGTGCCAAAATTTATGCAGTTGGCATTAACACAGGCAAAATGATTTTAAAAAATGTAAAAAAAAACTGGACAAAAATGTCCATAAGGTCGCACAAGGGTTAAATATATGTATTGAAATTAAAGTCAACAAACGCAAATAGATCAAGTGCAATAATATAAACACTTAAAAGTGTATTGTGGGTGTTTTCATTCCACTAGTCTGTAACAACACGGTATGAAAAGCCAAATATCACAAAATTGATTAGTGCATAATTATTATTTTGTAAATTTTTTTGGCTGTAGCGTCTTGTCTTAAAAACAGCATCAAGAGTGTCCATGTTATCTTAAACTTTAGCGTCAGCATTAAAGGTTTTTCAGCTCGCGTCGGTCTGAGTGCTGGTCTCTATCTGTGAATAGTGCCGCTGTACTTTGCTCTGCTCAGCGCTGATGTTAGAGAACAGCATAATGTTATCGATCTCCTGTGCTCATCAATACATTCACCTTGCCCCGTCTGCTGTCTTTCTTTCTTTCTCTCTCTCTTTAGCTCATTTCCACTCAGGACGGGTACAGCACCTTGGAGGTTTGCTATCACTGTGGTTTTGCCAAGTCTTATGTAACTCTGTGTCTGCAAATTTGAACTGTGGACAAATATAGTGTGATTGATTTGAGCTTTTAGCAGCTTGTGTCTGTGTGTACACTGCTCTTGATGTGGCATGATTCAGTGGCTTTGGGATGAAACGCGATCTCTCTGGGTGAATCTCCCAAACCGTTAAATAAAAAGAAAAAGAAGCCTCCCCACCCCTCCAAATTTTCATGACTAGTTGTTTTGTAAATCTCATTAAATTACATTTTCCTCTTTTTAAATAAATAATATATATTGTTATTAAAATTAAGTATACTGCAATATACTGTGCAATTTATATCTATAATTATATATTATTTAAAATATGTAATAATTAAAATATATATTTTTTCATATTTCCCATTAATCCCATAAATCTCATTAGATTAAAATGATAATTTTTAAATAGCAATTTTAAAAAAATAATAGCATTACATTGATATTAATTGCATATTAATTTATTATTGTAATAAAAATATATTGTATCTTTTATTTATTTATTTTTACGTTCTGTAAGGAGAATTTGTAGCAAAAAGATGTGGTTGATGAAAACGTCACAACTCAAAAAAAATTTTTTTGACATTTTCTTGTTGGTTTTGTGAGATTCACCCATTTTGACAAGCAAAGATTTTTAAACACTTCAACTGTGTCACTACATGTGTGTGTTAACACACTTTTTTACAGTCTATGGTTAAAACTGGCTGCAAAAACAATTATAATCTTGTATGCTGTATATTAATTGCTTTTAGACAGATATTAGTTATTTTCTGTACACATTATATGACCTGTCCCTTGTGTCATTTTTTTTTGTGTTGCTATAAAGGTTGTGGTGGTCAACTCAAATGGGACGTCGTTTGATTATGTCTCCGCTGTGCCCATTGAGAACGGACCGGTCAGTCTGGACATTTACTCAACTCCTCAGTACAAAGTGGATCAGCCTGTCGAATTTGAAGGTGAGATACCATAAATACACATCCATAGATATCTTTGAACTGAAACACCTAATAAAACAATTCAACTTCTAACTGTATATTCTACCCAGGGTTATCATAAAGATGAAACCATAAACTATTTTTGTTACTTCACATAAACGTTAACTAAATTAAAATATTAAAACAGAAGTATAAATTAATAAAAAATGGCAGAAATATAAATGTCAGAAATGCATGACAAAATTACTAAAACTTTAACAAAAATGAAAATGATAACTGAAATTAAAACTAATTCAAACTGTTAATAAAAACTATAATAGTATCTCAATAATACTAAAATAAGAGGTTCTATCAGTGCTTCTATCGAAATGTTTAACAACATTTAGATGAGAAGTAGATAATAAAAGCCAGTTTAAAAACAAAGTGCAATAAACTGTTCTGTTCTTCCGTATCTAGTTTATTTGATACCAAGGCTGGTCAAAAAAAAGTACAAAAAACTGGTCAAAAACTGGGGCAAATCCAGTGACAAGTTCTTCCTCAAAAGCGCTCATTGCACTATAACCTGGTTCTTTCTAAACATGACTAACTGATTAGAATCTCACCGCTGTCTGTGGCTGAGACTAGTTCCTAGTTAACTAATATCTGATCATTCACTGAGATTTTTCTTAAGTGAACAAATGGAAATTACTATTATTTTAATGCTCCACACAGAGAAGACGGATGAAAACACGAATGAGATCTTGGACTCACAGCTGGAGGAGGAAGAGGAGAAGACAGATGCGGAAGAGGAAGAGGAAGAGCAGGGTGGACCACCAGGCGCTCTCGTGAAAGTGTTCAAGTTTGTCATGAAGCAGAGCTACATCTGTGCTCTTATTGCTATGATGGTGAGAAGGTCAAAGCTTAAAGGGATAGTTCACCCAAAAATGAACATTTGCTTTTAATTTACTCACCCTCAGGCCATCCAAGATGTAGGTGTTTTTTTTTCTTCAGTAGAGGAGTAAAAGATGATGTTTAGCAGAAAACGTGGTCCTTGGTGATTCATAAAATGTAAGTCAGCAGCTACCGTTTTTTGAGAAAAAAAAACAAAACATTGAGGTAGGGCTGCACGATTAATCGAATGCGATTGTCGTGCGCATTTCGTTAAAAAAGCCGGTTCTGTAATCAGCAGG